TTGTTAGTAGTTCAAATTTATGTTGATGATATAATATTTGGTTCTACTAATGATGTTCTTTGCCAAGAATTTTCTAAACTAATGCAAAGTGAGTTTGATATGAGCATGATGGGGGAGCTCTCATTTTTCTTGGGACTCCAAATCAAGCAAAGAAAAGATGGCATCTTCATCAATCAAGCTAAGTACGTCAAAGATATGCTCAAGAAGTTTGGACTGGAAAATGGGAAACCTCATGACACTCCAATGAGCTCTTCAACAAAGCTTGACTTAGATGAAGGAGGTAAATGTGTAGATGTTAAATTATATAGGTCAATGATTGGATCTCTACTTTATCTAACTGCAAGTAGACCGAATATTATGTTTAGTGTTTGCTTATGTGCTAGATTTCAATCATGTCCTAAGGAATCACATTTACTAGCTGTTAAGAGAATCTTTAGATACCTTAAAGACACTCCTAGTTTAGGACTTTGGTATCCTAGAGACTCTAGCTTTAGCTTGCATGCTTTTTCTGATGCGGATTATGGAGTATGCAAATAGATAGGAAAAGCACCTCCGGTACTTGCCAATTCCTTGGAAATATGCTAATTTCTTGGTTTTCAAAGAAACAAAATTGTGTTGCGTTATCTACCACTGAAGCCGAATACATTTCAGATGGTAGTTGTTGTGCACAAGTTTTATGGATAAAACAACAACTTTTTGATTATGGAATTGAAGTAGGTACCATTCCTATCAAGTGTGACAATACTAGTGCTATTTGTCTCACTAAAAATCCCATCCAACACTCTAGAACTAAGCACATTGAAATAAGACATCACTTCATTAGAGACCATGTCACTAAGAAAGATGTAGTTCTAGAATTTGTTGATACTTTGCACCAATTAGCGGATATCTTTACAAAACCTTTAGACAAGGAACGATTTTGGACACTTAGGAGAGAATTAGGTTTGACCAATCTATCTTCACTGAGTGTTTAAAATAATTTTAGCACTTTTAATAATAAATGAAAAATGCTTATAATAGTAATTTTTTTAATTGCATTCATTGCTATTAGTTAGGGGGAGTTTATGATTCGTGATGAAAAATTAATTTTATGTTCAAATATCGTTTAAAGATTAATTGAATTGTTTGAACATGATTAATTTTCAATATATGAGTTGCCAATATCATTAGAGGAAATTAATTTAGCATTTTGGGTGTTTAAAATCAGATTTTAGCATTTTGGTGCAGAGGGAATCGATCCCCCCTTGAGGGAACCGATTCCCCCTTTGAAGGGGAACCGATTCCCCCCACAGGGGAATCGATACCACCTAGGGTTCTGGTTTTAACACGGGCAGAACCCAATATTTGCTCAAACCTCTCTTATTTTTTTCCTTCCGCCGTTTCTCACCCTCTAAGCATTCAAATCTCCATTTTTGCCTCAAATCAACGTTTTTAATCGAAATTCACTTCAAATATCATCCTCTAAACCTGTTTGAATCATCAAAAATGTGCAAACTTCATCTAATCTCACTCAAATCCGAAATCATTCAAGGTATTTTTCCAAAACTTATTTTTATCAATTTATGAACATAGAACTAGTTTTAATTAGTTCTAGGTTGAATTTTTGATCAGGCATTGATTATTTAGTGATTAGAAACTAGATATTACAACTAATTTCATCAAAAAACTCAAGATGTTTTCAAAATTTTCTAAATTTTCGAAATAAAAAAAAAATTATTAATTTTCAAATTATTGTGTTTTGATTAAATTATGTTGTTATTATGAAAACTATACATATATTGTTTCTCAAAACCATATTTTTCAAAAGTTTTTCAAAAACTTTGCCCATTAGGATTGATTTAGAGAACCTTGAAATATTGAGGACTCAATTGAGTTTTGGGATTGATTGAATTGCATACATGTATTTTCTAACTTGCAGGTTATCAATTCTATTCTGATTTCCTAAACCATGTCCAATCCTAAACGTGCTAGGTCTTCATCTAGTCGTTCACACCGTCAACCAAATCCACCTCCAAATCCTCATTCTATTCCAATTTCTAATCCTAATCCCATTGATCCTAATTTGGCTATCCAAAATTCGTGTTTCAATCATCCTGGTCCTAGAAATCATCGTTTTTTGTATTATCAATATTTCGACTCTTACAAAATCCGGGAAGAACGTATACCTTCTCGTCAAGCTATGTTAGCTATCAATTTTAAATATCTTCATCTTTTACAAGAGTGAAAATTTGATAAACTCTTTGACCTTGAACCCATCGTTTACCATCAACTTGTTCGTATTTTCTATTCTAATGCCGTTTGTGTTAAAAACCAAACTGAAACCGAAACCATAGGAATTCGTTCCTACCTCCTAGGACAATTCTTATATATTGACTCGGCTTACATAGCTAATACATTCGGATTAGATAACGATGGTATTTCAAATGAAAAAAAGGTTTTAGGATCTCGTTATAAAAGAAGAGATGGTGCGAGTGTCCTAGACCTACATGAACGTTTTCTTCATCTAATGATTTCTTGGTGGTTTCGACCATCCGGAGGTCGTTATTCTACTCTTAGAGCCTTAGATCTTTGGTGGTTACATTGTTTCGAAAACAATATTAAAATTAACCTACCTCAGATTATTTTTGCTGAAATTGTTGAAACCGTAAATCTTGTTCCTAACAAGAAACTCTGTTCCTTTCTTGTTTACGGTTGCATTTTGAGTAATCTGTTTTCCAAAGCTGGGCTTAGAGTCGGTCTAGATGCCGTTTTTCCCCTTAAGAAACAAATTAACCTTCTTTCCTTAACAAGAGCGGGATGGATTAAGGATAAGGAAACCGGTGAATGGGTTCGATCTTCTACAAATACTCCGGGAGCTAGTTCTTCACAAGATCCACCCGAAGCTGACGAAGATCTCGAGCTTGAGCAATTAATGTGAGACATCGATGAAGCCGAAGATGAGCCTGAGCAGCCCGAGGAGCAGCCTGAAGAGCAAGCACAACAAACACATCCAATGCCTCCATATTTCCAATCCTTTATGGAGACATTCGATTTTCGATACGCTACTATGGATTCACGCTTTACCTCTATAGAGTCCCATTTATCCACAATGGGAGCTCAACAATTAGAAATTCTTCAGGAAATGCGTGCAAATAATGAAGCAACCAACGCACGTATTAATGACCTCACTAACAAAATGGCCGCTATGCGAGCTCATTTTCCTCCTCCTGATCCAGATATGTGATTCAATGTTTTTCTTTGAACTCCAAACTTATTGTTTTAACATTTTGAATATTTTGGAATGTTTGAATTTGTGGATTGATTGACTTTGAATTTGTTTGGATTTATGAATGGTTAGAAATTATCTATTTGGTGTGATTAAATTTATTCATTATTGCATCATTTACTTCATGATTAGATATATGACCAATTTTGCCATTTCACATTAATTATGAATATTGATTATGAAACTAATGGCTAACGTTTCTCTTGCTTGTGATCTTAGCAGCTTATATTATATATAATGAATTGGCTAACTGATTTCAAAACCTTGTTTAAATTCTTTAAAATGTCTTTTTGATTTAACAAAAAGGGGGAGAAGTGTTAAAGTGTTTTTAAATAATAAATGAGAGAAGTGTTAAAGTAAGGGGGAGTAATTTCAAAACTTGATTTCAAAATCTTAAAATTACTAAAATGTTTTGTTATATCAAAAAAGGGGAGATTGTTGAAAACATTTTGATATTTCGATATAACAAATTAAGTTAAATGAATTTTAAGATTTTCCAAATGATTTTCTAAGTATATTCGATAGAATTATTCGAATATCAAAACATTCCTCCAAATCTTTCAAAGATCATTTTTAATCCTTACTCAAAGTGTAAAATTAAGTTTTAATCTTAAAACAATTTCAAAATAATTTTACAAAGTATTTTGAACCATTTCAAAGCCAAAAATTCCATATTGCTCAGAGGGAATCGATTCCCCCTAAGGGGGTATCGATTCCCCCCTGAATGGTTTGGCTCCGAGAATTCTAGTATGCTCGGAGGGAACCGATTCCCCCCCAGGGGGTACCGATTCCCCCCTTGTATAACGGTCGAAATATTTGAATTTTACACTTAGGGAACCGATTCCCCATAAGGGGTACCGATTCCCCCCACGCTCCAAGAAGTTTTATTAATTGTTTTCACACTAAAATGGCTATATGATCTTCACTAATCATCCCCAACGTTCAGAAGTGATTCAAGGTGTATTTAAACAAGTTCTGAAGCCCTTGATCAATAAGAAATTATAGAGAAACAAGAGAGAAAGCATCAAACACCAAGTTTGTGCAAATCAAGCCAATTTTCCTTTCAATATTCATTTTGCTTTCAAAGAACACCATTTGTGCTCATTTGTAATTATTTGTGAGTGTTCTTTTCTTGTTCTAGAATTATGCAAACATCTTACCTTGTGAGGTTTTCCTTGTAAGTTTGCAAATTTGTAATCTTCTCTTTGGGAAATAGTGTTCTCAAGAATTAGGGTATATTCTTGAGGGTGTTGTAAGGTTATCTCTTTGGCCTCAAAAGAAATAACAAATTAGTGAATTTGTTGGAAAATCCTTAGTGTGGAAAGCTAAGGTAGTGGACGTAGACTTTAATTGAGAAAGTCGAACCACTCTAAATCACTGTGCAATTACTTTCAATTTTCTGCAAAAGCTTCCACCAAATTTTTAATTGCCAATTCACCCCCCTCTTGGCCAATTCCGTCAATCGATTAACTCAACATTATATTCTATTCTCATTTTTCATTTAACCACTTAGATTTAATTCATATAATTTATACATTGTTATCATATAACTATTTATATTCTTATCACACCAAATAGCATATAACATCTATGAATCTATTCATGTTTTCATGCAAACATAATAGTCATATCAAACACATACTAACATTCATATATTTATGCAATCAAATATTGGAATTAGACTCATCGCGAGTCTTATTTCCATACACATAATTTACAACTAGTATGCACTCACCTTAGCCTTGCTATGATTCGATCCTAATTCTTTGATTATTTTGGAACTTGTTTAGGCTCAATATCTACATAAACATTATTTCCGAGTCGATTATCAGAAGCCTAAACCTTATAACTTGATATTAATAACTCAAGCTAGTTTAATGAACCAAAATTTCATTTTTTTTCCTTTAGGGGTGTACCGATGCACTATGGGTGCATCGGTACCCAAAATAGCTTCAAAATTTCCATGCATCGATGCCTAACGGTGTGCATCGATACATACTGAATAATTTATGGAAATTTACCCTTGATGCATCGGTACATGTTGAATGTGTACCGATGCACACTAGTCCAGAGTTCCAATTTATGCACGAAAATTACTTCCTTCTAACTTAATTGTGCCATATTTCAACCTCATTCATATCCTTAACTCACATACACATGTTTAAACTCATTTATATTCATTTATCTCATCTTTAACCTTAACATCCTCTCCTCTTTATGAACTTCAAGAATCATACCCAAATTTTCAAGATTCTCTCAATCCAATTTTATCACTTAATATCTCTTAATTAAGTCGATAACAAGTCAAATTTAGTTTCAAATTCAACTTATCAACTCTTTTCCAAAAATTCACTTAAAAACCCATTCTTTTTTAATATTTCATAACTTCTTAATCTTTTGATTTTAAGACAACTTAAGCTTTCCTTAAGCTTAGTTATCATCTAATGATCAAAACCCAAACTTTAAATCAACAAATAATCAACTAATTAGAAAACTTACCTTTGCAAGCTTAGCTCCCTTTCTCTCGTATGATGAAGAAGAATAAGAAGAATAAGATAACTCTCTTCCCCTCCACGTGATTCATTCATATAAAGGGGAAAAATATCTTTCTTGTCAAATGACCATTTTGCCCTTTAATTCATTTGATAATTATTAACAACTTTTAGGAAATATTTCCACGTAACTTCTTAAACTATTCAACTATTTTATTTTAATCACCAAATTCTAAAATTTTACAATTTAGTCACTAACCCTAGTTTGGGATGTTACATTATTATCTTCCATTTTATGTTAAACACATATATATAACTGAAAATAATAGTGGCAATGCCTTTATTCAATAAAATCGGTAAATAAAATGTATCATTACAATTATCATATGATTGGTCTTTGGGCATACTCTATCAGTTCAAGAACTATATGAACTTGGAAACCTTTTTTGTAAGATTATGTTGTAAAACACTAAAGAAGAATGAAGTAGAAGACTTACAAAAAAATAGTGTCATCATTTTGTGCAAGTCGGAGAAATTTTTTCCTCCAATTTTTTATGATGTGATGGTGCATTTTGTTGTACACTTCCTCATGAAATCATACTTAGGGGACCCGTGCATTATCAATTGATGTATCCAATTGAGAGGTAATTCTATCATTTTTTTATATTTTAAATCAAATTATAATATTGTTATAATTTTATTTTTATATAACAATTTTTTTGTATATAATAAGATTTTAGGTAAGCTCAAGACATATACACAAAACAAGGCTCATCCATAAGGATGTATAACAGATTCATATATTTCAATTGAATTTTTGACCTTTTGTTATATATATATATATTTGGGATTGAGACAATAACTAATCGAGAAGATAGAAATGATGATGATATAGGGGAAAGAATTCCATGATCCCAATTTCCTCATTTTCAGGAAGTTTTCGCCCTTTAAGAACTACGAGATATGAATTCTAATATAGCTAAGAGTTTGAAATGATGCAATGGCGTATATTGATAAATTGTGATGAAGTTGAATCATACATGGAGTAAGCATGTAACTTACAATTTAATCACTCGAGCAAGTTTTACTTTTACTGTTACTAACCTATACCATGTTTATTGAAATAGAAAACATAAAATGGAAATTTAGTTGTAAAGTACGTTGTGTATTGAAGGAAGACATAGAGAGTATTTCCCTTATGATTTAAAAATTATGTAAGTACGTTATATTATAAATATTTTCAAATTATAAAAAATATCAATTATAATTTATGTTTCTTTCTTTCTCCGTAAACTTTAGATTGCTAATCAAGATTCATAAAGAATATATAGTGTATTTAATTTTTTTAGCTTATGGTCCTGATAGACGTGCTCTAAGTCAAATTAGTGGAGTGACAGTAGAAGGTAATCACGATGAGGACCAAATAAACTTTTATGGTGTTTTTATTGATATTATTCAATTAAATTATATCAATGATTATAAAATTGTTTTGTTCAAGTGCAAGTTGTTTGACTTGGGAAGTAAAAATAAGAGAATTCACAAAGATTGTCATTTACTAAGTATCAATATTAGCAAATATTGGCATAAAAAGTGATCTTTTTATTTTGGCACTTCAAGGAAAGCTAGTTTTTTTTATTTGGATGATACCATAATGCATACTATATAGCATATGATGTACCTTATCTAAAACTCTTTTGTTCTTTCTAGGGGTACTTATCGAGCAAGTCAATTGCAAGTTGGGTAGTGCTCGAGTCATGCTCGTAAAAAAAATTGTTGCTCAACTCAACTCATTGTTCGTTAAGCTTGTTAAAATTTTGCTAGACTCGTGCTCATTAAAAATACTTGTTGCTCGACTCGTTGCTCATTAAGCTCATTGCTCGTTGCTCGTTAAACGTACTCACCAAAATATTTACCTTATATTTTTAACTATAAGTAAATTCTACTAATAATATATAGAGCTTAATATAAAATTTAATAAATTTAATCAAAAAATTATCAAAATAGGACATGAAGCAACTTCAAAGTATAAACTTCGAAGCAACTTCAAAGCGTAAACTTCAAAACAACAATCCACAAATACATTAAAATAATAATTATGATTTGATTATTGGGTGTAATAAAGTAATCATTATTAATTAGTAACTTATTTTTTGTTTATTAGAAAATTAATAGCTTAATAATTTATCATTTTTTAATTATATATTAGTAAATTATTAATTTTTAAATAGAATATTTTTAAGATAATCACTAAAAGGTTATAAAATAAATTAACGAATTGTCGTGAACTTATCTAGTCAAGTTGATTTTTACTCGACTCAACTTGTTAATGTCTCAAATTGAATTAACTCGAGTCGAGTTTTGACCGAATTTTAACTGTATTCGAACTGTTCACGAACTACCAACACATTAAACACCCTTAGTTCTTTCTATATGCGTGTGTATATATATATATATATGAAATAACAATAAAAGTAGCTCATGCACAAATTTCGAAAAACTCCACATGGATACGTTGGACTGGTTTTATGGGAGGACAAAGTGACGTACAAAACAAATTTGTTAGGTTGTTTGTCATGGTTAGAGATGGAGTCTGCCGCTGCTCTAATTTTATATTTTTTTAATGTAGTACTAATATAATTATAGGAGTCAATAAAAGACTTATAAATAGAGTAAAATATTAAAAGAAAAATACCACGAGTTAATCATCTTCCCATCGACTAAAGCTCATCCAATATTGCTTTAATATGATTCTTCATTGTTCGACACTCAAATTTTAAAGGACGTAATTAAATAATATTATATTTATTATTTTTTAATTAGAATTATTTGATCTTAAATTTAATTTTAGTATTCCTTTAGTTTTAATAATTGTTAAGGTGAATGGTGATTACTAAATTTGATTTTTTTATGTTCATGAAATAATTTTATATAAATGCAGCTTGCCATGGGAAAAAACCCAACAATTACTGAGTTTTTTAAGAGAAAAAGTGGGGGAAACTTCGAAAAATACAAGTACAACAACTGAAACTTCAAATGGTATACCTATTGACGTTTCACCTTCGGAAGATAGACCTTTAAAGATAGCTAGAATCATAAACCAAATACCAACTCTAATTACTTGGAGCGAGATCCTAGTAAGCACAATCAAATATGGGAATATCCTTCTGAACAAGAAAGAAATACAATTCGAAGAGCATATATTGCTGAGGGTCTATACAAACCAGTGCTCTCTGAATTTAAAAAATATGGATATGTTTCTCACCCTCGCCGATTTCAAGCTTCATGGTACAAAAACTTTCGTTCATGGTTAGAATATTCTCCTGAAAATAATGTCGCCTTCTGTTTTATTTGCTTTCTTTTTAACAAACTTGTAACACCCTAATTTAGGGGCTAAATTTAAGAAATTATAAATTGGTGGATTTAATTGGTATTTTGAAAGAAATGGTGGATTAAATTGTAAGATTTCAAAGTTGACAGACCGTTTTAAAAAGCACATGAAATTCAGTGGCTAAACCCATGATTTAACCATTTTATATGTTGAATTATAAATCCCCCCATGCTCAGGTTCAGCAGAGATTTTCCAGTTTTCCCTCTCCAACAACCCTTCTTTCAACTTCGATCTACTCGCCGTCCGACCTCCTATCAACGAGCCGAAACCACCATCGTATTCGTTGTCAACCGAGGAACAAAACCCCTCAAACCTTTCGTCGTGAATCGTCTCCTTTAGTCGTTAATTTCAGTCGAAAGTATCGTCGGTAATAACTTGATTTCAATTAGTGTTCTGTCGATTCACGACGATCCGGTCATCCGTTTACGACACCTCCCGCACCATCGTGTTCCTTGTATCGTTCCGAGTCCACCGGTATTCTTCGTTTCTCCGTTGTCGGCGACGCGTGGAGGGGTGAGACCGTCAAAGTTTTCGACATTTTGGAATCGAGCTCTCCGCCGTTCAAAATTGTGAACCGAGCTTTGTAAGTGCCTCAAAATTGCTTAAAATAATTTTTAAGAATTTTTCCGGGAATTTTCCGACACCGTAACACTGTTCACACGCCACCCCCCGAGAGTGGGCATCGTCTGGGTGATAATTTAGTAATTAATTTATGTTTGGGTACTATTTGTGTAAAATCTCGGTGTTAGATTGGTAAATATTTGCATAATATGGCTAATTTGGTAATTAATTTCTGTTAGGGTGATATTTGTGTAAAATGGTCGACTGTTGACCGTTGAGCGGCGTTGACCACAGTTGACCAAAACTTTGATTGGCTTTGACCGGGC